GGAGCTAAATGATAAGAACTTACGAACACCAAGAAGAAAACGTCAGACACTGAGGTCTACTTGAGAGGGGAGAGTGGGAGGAAGAAGAGGAGCAGAAAAGATAACTGTTGAGTACTGGGCTTGATAAGTGGGTGATTAAATAAAATGTTCAATAACCCATAATCCCAGCACTTTGGGAGGCCGAGGCCGGTGGATCACTTGAGGTCAGGAGTTTCAGACCAGCCTGGCCAGCGTGGAGAAACCCTGTCTCTACTAAAAATACAAAAATTAGCCAGGCATGGTGGCACACCCCTGTAGTCCCACTGCTTGGGAGGTTGAGGCAGGAGAATCGCTTGAACTCGGGAAGAAGAGGTTGCAGTGAGCCAAGATTGTGCCACTGCACTCCAGCCTGGGTGACAGAGCAAGACTGTTTCAAACAAGAAAAAAACAGGTGCAACAACCCCCCATGACATGTATGTACTTATATAACAAACCTTCACGTGTACCTTGAAACCTAAAATAAAAGTCAAAAAAAATATATCATATCCGTAATGGCCTTAGAGTAGGCTCGGACCCGGGGACAGAGCTCAGTAAATGAAGGCTTTTGTTTGTTTTTGAAGGCATTGTTCGCCACTGAGCCCCAGTACACAGAACAGTGCCTGGCACCTAAAGGATACTCAGTAAATTCTTGAAGAATGAATAAATCAATGTATGGATGACATCCTAAGAGTTATAAGGATAACAGTGTATGATGTCATATCCTAACTGTATATTTCAATCTATTTACCTGTACTTGTTTTTTTTATTCTTCCCAAATGGAATATCCTAACAATATTTCTCAATTATATTAATCCTCAACTCCAAGTCCATGCTCCAAATTTTTCAGAAAGATTTGTTCCATCAGTGCAATTTACATCAATATGTTCCTTCTCTGACATCACTTAGGACAGATCCTGATTAATGAAAAATGATAGAACAAGAAAATCATATGACTGACTTCAGATGGCAAGGAGGACCGTTTATTTGTACAGCAGAGGCAGTATCTATTAAGCTTCTTCAACATAGTAGTCTTGTGACTAATAACCAGTACCCGTAAACTCACCTGGTGTTTGCCACTGTCTTCCTCTTAGAGTTTCCTTTGCTGGCACATCAGTTGCGGGGTACACAAACTGGCCAAATCAGTTTTAACTGACACCTGAATCCTGTGGAATTCATTCCAAATGCCTTGCTTGTTCAGTTAACATAAATCTGCCCAGGCTTTGAAGATAAATGCATTTGCTTTCTGATGAGATAGGAAAAGAATATTTAAGTTGTCACAATTCTATTTTAGACCCTGAAGGACTAGGAAATGATGCAGTCATCATGCAATGAGAGGTGAAGAGGACAGGATGCATTTCCAAGAACCATGTAATAGACAGAAAATTGGCCCTAGAATCAAATAGTCTGAGTTCAAATCCTGCCTTTGTTTCTTACAAACTCTGTGTTCTTGAGAAAATTGTTTAATCTTTCTGAAACTTAGATATTTTCCTTTGAAAATGGGAACAATAGTTGGCGAACTTACCATACAAGGATGTTCTAAGGATCAAATGACTTACTTTGTATGAAATGGCTTATTGAGCTATAAAGAGCTTTATAAACTTAAGTGAAATATGCCTAGCTCTTGTGCCCAGCTGCTGTAATCTTACCAGCTATGGCTCCCTGTGCTTAGGCAATGACTGTCAGTGTGGTTAGTGCTACAACAGACCTTAAAGCTGATGAATTCATTTAATAGGGCTCTCGTAACAAAGTACCACAACTGAGTGACTTAAACAACAGAAGTTTATTGTCTCAAAGTTCTGAAGGGGAGAAGTCCAAGATCAAGGTGTTTGCAGCCTTGGCTCCTTCTGAGAGCTTCGAAAGGAACCTGCTTCATGCCTCTCCCCTGGCTTCTGATGGTTTGCTGGCAATCTTTGGTGTTGCTTGGCTTCTTGAAGCATCACCCTGATCTCTGCTCTTATCTTCACGTGCTATTATTCCTGAATGTGTTTCTATGTCCAAATTTCCCGTTTTTTTTTTTATAAGAACAGCAGTCACAATGGGGATGGGACCACTCTAATGACCTTGGGAAACAACTCAATTCCAAATAAGGTGATGCTCTGAGGTTCTTGAGTTAGAATGTCAACGTATTAATTTTGTGGGGGACAAAATTTGACCCATAACAAGGATGTGCCCAGAATCTCTTGCCTAATCTGATTACACAGAGGCAAAGGTTGTTTCTGGGTTAACCTAACTCATCTTTCCTGAGGGTATTATCTCTCTTCTAGCCCACTGCCAGTAGGCCTCTGTGATGCCTTGCCTTTGGTTCTCAGATATCTCTTCCAAAGTGGAATTAGATGGGAGTGGTCCGCCCTAGAGGGGATGGAGATTTTTATCACTCATGTTGTTCAGAACTGCTGGTGCAAGGCAATTATAAAAAGCAGACTGACTTTTAGTTGGTTTTATTATTGGTGTTAAATTCTCTACAGACAATACATCGCTTTATTGCCAGCATCCAGGACAGATTGCTCTCACTGCCCTGCCCTTGATAAGCCATTGTCTGACCTGCCCCTAGAGATCTCAGCTCCCAGTGGGAACAGCACACATCATTTCCCAAGGATCTTCAATCCCTATGCAAATATAATTTCACCAAGCTCATTCACAAATGAGCAAACATGCCTAGATATGCTTGTTAAGAAAAAATTATTCAAAACTTGCATGAAGGCCAAGAGAATGCAGCACAGCTTCTCAAAGACAAGCTGGGGTACAATTTAACAAGCCCACCCAAGGATTACTGAACTGTCTTTGGGAGTGCATTGTTTATGACTCAGCCGTTTGTTATTAATTAAGACTCCAATTCTGTGAAGTTACATGTTAACCTGCAGGTCTTGTCCAGAGATGAAAATAATTTTGTGCACTATAAAAGATAACTCCTTAAGCCATTAACCTAGTACTCTTACTCTTTCTTCCTTAAATGTCTATAAAGTCCGTTCCTTGAAATATTATTTTAATCAAATTTACAGTCTATGTGGGTCTGTCATTCATGAGTTAACACGTCTTCCTCGCCTGTCAAATGCACCAATCAGCAGTAGGTTATGGCTCAAGCTGTGTCCCAATTTTTATAGAGTGTGGCTTGTTTTCACTGTAATTCTCAGTGTTCCAAAGTCTGGTTGATAACGACACTGATATTTCTTGTGTGGAAATTTTTTTTTAATATATATATTTTTTCTTTTGGTACCATGACTTAGATTTTTTTTTTTTTTTTTTTTGAGACAGAGTCTTGCTCTGTTACCTAGGCTGGAGAGCAGTGGCATGATCTCAGCTCACTGCAACCTCCACCTCCCAGGTCGAAGAGATTCTTCTTTTTTTTTTTTTTTTTTTGAGACAGAGTCTTGCTCTGTTACCTAGGCTGGAGAGCAGTGGCATGATCTCAGCTCACTGCAACCTCCACCTCCCAGGTCGAAGAGATTCTTCTGCCTCAGCCTCCCGAGTAGCTGGAATTAAAGGCGCCTGCCACCACGCCCCAATATTTTTTTGTATTTTTAGTAGAGACGGGGTTTCACCATGTTGGTAGGCTGGTCATGAACTACTGACCTCGTGATCCACCCGCCTGGGCCTCCCAAAGTGCTGGGATTACAGATGTGAGCTGCCACACCTGGCCTGTGTGGAAATCATTTCTACCTGTTCTTCCCTTTTCATTCTTGCCCTTGTTAAAGCCTCCTCTACTCACTGCTACACATTTTTTTTTTTTCTCAATCTGAGAAAGAGCACTAGAAGGAGGAGGAGAAGTTTTCTTCATATATGTACAAGAAGCATTTAGAAGTTAACTTTTTTTAAATTGCATTTTAGGTTTTGGGGTACATGTGAAGAACATGCAAGGTTGTTAGAAGTTAACTTTTGAGTAGAAATGACTAGAAATTCAGTTGTACTATATACTTGCAGCACGAGACCTAATGCAGATGCCTGAACAGAGACGGGTTTATGAGCTCTCACTGGTAAAACAAACAAACAAACAAACAAAAAAAAAAAAACACCAGAAAAGATATGAACTGGGAGGGCTCTGTCACTGAAAATTCATTCTAAGACTTTTTCTAGGATTCCTAAGTATGCAATTTTTTTTTTTTTCAAAACCTAACAAACAGGAGATTATGAGGAAGGATGGCAAATTCCCTGTTTTACTAAAATTAAAATTTCTTTTTAAAGCCCCGAAGTTGTTCATTGCTATGTGCATTTCCAGGTTTTGGTTATGTAAAAAGATGTTAAAATGGGCAGAGACCCTTATGCAATAGTTATCAGATATTTAATGGAGTTACAAAGCAGATCGCTTGCTTTTCAAAGAAGAGAATTAAAAGTCAATTACTCCCCTAACCTTTATCAGGAATATAAAAGAGTCTAGATAGGTAGAAATGAAGGGAGTACTTATGACAAGGATTTCTTTGAAGAAAGCTCTGCTGTGAGTCCCACCCACCATCCCTTTCCCAAAAGGGGAGGGACAGGAATGTTCCTCAGAGAGCTTGTCTTATGTCCTCTGAACTGAGGGGACACAGTGGTTCTTGGGTGTAAAAGATTAGATTATTTTAAAAAAAATCAGTCCTTCTCTCCATCTCTATGGGCGTAGAGATGCTGTAATAACCTACCCTGGGCTAGCATCACTGACTCCATCTTAGCTGTAAACTCCAACCTAGCTTCCCCCTCCCGACCACAGCCCCTTTGGGTGATAACTGGGCCACACTGATGCTGTGCTATGTCACGCTGACTCTGGGCTTATCCTACCATAAAACCAATGTAACTGCGTCCTGCTTGGCAAGCACACCTGCTATTGTGTATAACTCTCTTTGAACCCCTCTTGGTGATGGTTTGGAAATACCCTTAGCAACCAACAATCCTGGGAACCTCCTCCCCTCCGGGGTTACTAGCTAACTTGCCTGTTCTGCTTCTGTAAAATTCCGCTTCTGTAAAATTTAGCTAGGTACCCCCTCCCCTAGCTAAATCAAGGTATAAAGGCAAATCAAGCCCCTTCCTCGGGGCCGAGAGAATTTTGAGCATTAGCCATCTCTTGGTCGCCGGCCAGTCAGTAAAGGACTCTTAATTTGGAACTCAGTGCGTGGCACATTCCTTCTAACTCGCTTGGTTATTACAATGCCATGTGACTTGATTTGCCAGTGGGATGGTAGTAGATGTAATTCAAGTAGGGGCTCAGAATGCGCTTTCAGGGTGAGTATGACCTCTGAGCTTGTGCCTCTGCCATTGTCATGAGAAGAACACGTCTAGCTGGACCGCTGGTTCCAAGGAGAATGACAGACTCTCAGAATAGATCTGCTGTTCCAACCAGCCGACAGGTATGAGAATAATCTATTATTATTTTAATCCACTGAGACTTGCTGGGGTGGGAGGTAGTTATTACGCAGCACCATTGTGGTCATAGCTGACGAATATTGTTGGCTAACTGCTTTGATGGCAGAAAAAAGGAGAGTTGCTATTTGCTGCACTGGAATCAGCCGTCACTCTGAGTTTATCCAGGCAAAGACACGCCGGAGTGATTCCTGTGGATCAGATGTGTGCTCTGTGCTGAAAAGAGACTTAGCATGGGAGCTAGTCTCTTTGTCAAGCATGGCTGACAGATTTGGCTGGGAAAGAGGCAATGGGCTCTTATTTGATTTAAACAGCTGATTACTCACATAGACAGCAAAAGCAAGAGTACCAGCCCTTTGGGTCTTTTGTTCCACAGGACAGCACCAGAACAAAAGGGGCAGGATGACTGCAACGTGAATGGTGGAACATCCTGTTGCTGAAGAGCAGATGCCATGCTGAAGCAAGCAGTTTTATAGCCTGCAGCTGCACCCTAAGTGGGAGTGAGGCAGAGAGCCTCCAGCCTTATTAGAATCCAGGAGGCAATAAGGAACTGTCTCCTGACAGCCTTTTAGGAAGATAGGGAGGCAAGTGAAAGATGGCCTTGTAGTAAGTAGCTCTTTCCACACTGTATATTATCATTAGTCTCCTCCTCACAAAAGTGCTTGAATGTACTGCTCCAGAGCATCTCCAGATTCCAAAATTGCAAGCAAATTTTCAAGTGCCAAGATGAAATCAACCGCAGTAGCAAAAATATGCTAGCTTCATTTATTATTACCCAGATTATCAAAGATCTTTTTTAAGGTGTAGCCACTGATGCGAGTAATCATGATACAGAAAAAAAACACCACTTTGTGCAAAATTGTTTTGCCACTTTCAAAAAGCTTACTTATAAGGCTACTGTGAACAAAAGCCTTTCCAGATGAGAAATCAAAAATAACATCAAATTTTTGCAGAGACTCTCTGGTTGAGTTAGAACTTAATGAGAAAAATTTTACTGCTTTTGGGGAAAGCAATACAAATACGAATTTTACTGAATTTGCTCATGCACCTTTATAGATATGGACAATACTTATTAAATGTTGAAGCAAAGCATGAATAATTCTATGGAAAGTGTTGGCTGTCCTGTTCATATTCTGCGTGAGCTGCTCACACAGCATCTGATGTTCTTTCTACTGACACTGAAGTAATTGTCATGAAATTCTTGTACTTTGGCATTTATATCGTTTGTGCAATTAAAGGATTTTTGTATTTGGCATTTGGTATTCTTCAATTCTCTTGCATTCCAAAGCCTATTGGATCTCTTTAACAAATGCAGTTGACAGACTTCTTAGTTCATTTGAAACACTGACCTTATATTTTAATTCTGATTAAAAGGCCCCCAAATTTTAAGCAATCTATTGAATGAAAGCCTATTTTATTTTTTATTTCTTATCACTTGTAGTTTTCAATATCTCTTCAGCAATATGGTTATGCAAATTGAAAGAAAACTGAACAGTATTATTGCAGACTGTTTCTTGAAGAAAGCTGTGGAATGTGTTACAGAAAGAAATGATAGAAAATTTTTTATCCCTTTAAGTGTCATGGCTGTTCTTCAAAGGACAAATTTACTGTGACCAGGAAAATAAATTCCAAACTGAAGTGGATAATTATTATATCACTTGTCATGACTCTTTTGTTATGGATGGATTTTATCCCTTGAAGAGTTTAATTGTTTTATAGGAGTGTTACTAAATACTCTTTCAGCATATGTAGTGTTGAAGAAGAAAGGATTTAAAATTGATGACCATGCTTCCTTTTTTATGTTTCACCATTTAAAAATTGTTGATCAAGAGATTTAATATAATGCAGAAGTATGGGAAAGCAAGTTACGTCATGAAAGATGGCATTATGTGTGGCAACAAGTAAAATTTAAAGAGCAATTTTTAGAGTTGTTAACTTTATGCCAGTATGTGTTCACTATATCAGCTCATAATGTTTGTATTGAGAGTGGCTTCTCATTAACGAATGGTCAATGAACCAAAGAACAATATAAGTTGGATGTCACTCCTGTTGAAGAGATGCTACAATGTAATGGGAACACAGACTATAACTGCAAGAAATTTAGTAAGGAAATTCTGTAAAACAAACGGCTGCTGGAGCGTCCAAATCATCAAGGAAATACAATTTTTAAGAGGCACGTCATTTAGATTTTTATCAGCAATTTCAGATAAACATCAGGTAATTTTTAGTATAATATTATCATGTAGCAGGAAAGGCCACAAAACCTCTCGAACACCAAACTGGCAAGGGGTGATTTATTCAGCCAGGAGCAGCTGCGGCATAGTTCCCTAACAGCCGAGCTCCCCAATAAGAAAATCCTTGCCCTTTTAAAGGCTTACAACTCTAGAAATTACACGTGAAAGGGTCTTGATCCATGAAGTAGGCGTAGGGTATGTGACTTAGGTGGGGGTGTGATGGTGTTTAAGTAAAAACAATGCCTTCTGGAAAGATTCTTCCATACTGCTCCTGCGATCTACAGGAGTGCGATTAAGGGTGGCGCCCGGGTCTGCCAGCCTTTACTTCTCCTATTGAAATGCAATGTAGAAGTCTAAGGGTAAGGGCTCGTAGAAACTTAAGAGGATTAGGGGCCTCCTTCCTCAATCATTTCTAATGCTTTTTGAAATTTCAATCTACAATGCATAAGCAATTCAAAAATAACTCAAATATACCTGAGTGTCTCATATTTTTATTTGTGTAATCTGCCAAACCTAGCTGGGGGTCAAGTGAAAGGTGATCCAGGACCTTCCAAAGCTAATTTACTTAGGAACCAGTCTTTCACACAAGCAAACCATGAACTAAAAAGGAAAATATCCATGGTAAATATAGGTTCCTCAGGTAGACCCTAGAGGCTACCTAAAGCCAAGAGAAGAAATCCCACCACTAATTCAGCCCTGCATCAACAGCCTAACAGCTGGAAAGATGCACTTCTGTTATACAAATCCACTTGTTGTACAAACCTCTCAATACTTTGCAAGTTGTTATTAAAATGATAGTTTACATAAAAGTCACTTGTGGTTCTTGCCAGCTGTAGACAAAACTAACACTGACCCCTTGAAGATGCTTCCCCCAGAGGAGTTTGGTTTGTTGGAGCCGTGCAGAATGTGTAATCCATCTGCCCAAGGCCCGCCGATCCCTGGGGGCGGCTAGAAGACTCTCCATTCCATTCTTAGTGTTTCTTAAGTAGCAGCAGCACTTCCATTAACATATTCCCTAGTTAGAAGGTAAACTTCATTCATACAAATATTCTCAGGAGTTTTTCTTCCTAAAACACTTCTTGTAATAGCCTCTCAAAAATTTTACATTTTCTGTCCTTGTTTTCTTTTTCTTTTGAGACCGTGTCTCACTGTTGGGCCGGAGTGAAGTGGCTCACTGCAACCTCTGCCTCCCGGGTTCAAGCGATTTTCCTACCTCTCCGCCTCCTGAGTAGCTGGGGCTAATTTTTGTATTTTTAGTAGAGATGGGTTTCACATTATTGGCCAGGCTGGTCTTGAACTCCTAACCTCAGGTGATCCACCTGCCTTATCCTCCCAAAGTGCTGTGATGACAGGCGAGAGCCACCATGCCCGGTCCCTTATTTTCACTTTACAGCTTTACACTGAGAAGCGTGTTGCTGTATCCAGCCCTTTAAAAAAAATTTTTTTTTAATTTTTATTTTTTTGAGACAGAGTCTCTCTCTGTCACCCAGGCTGGAGAGCAGTGGTGCAATCTTGGCTCACTGCAACCTCCGCCTCCCAGGTTCAAGCGATTTTCCTGCTTCAGTCTCCTGAGTAGCTGGGACCACAGGTGGGTGCCACCACGCCTGGCTAATTTTTGTATTTTTAGTAGAGACGGGGTTTCACCATATTGGCTCTGCTGGTCTTGAACTCCTGACCTCGTCATCCACCTGCCTCGGCCTCCCAAAGTGCTGGGATTACAGGCGTAAGCCACCTCCCCTGGCCTATCCTCTAGCCCTTTTATAAGGGCTCTACTTCCATCCATGGTGGTGCATGAATGTAATTAGCTAAATCTGAAGGCCATTCTTTTGCTTATAGGTTACCTTTAGGACAGGTGATGAGGAAAAGCAGCAGCAGGTGGGATTCCTGGCAGAACTAAGCCAGCACTCCAGGTAGCAACCAGGCTTCAACAATGGGCTGGTTATTGAGGAAGAATCTGAAATAGCACTAAGTAGGAGTCTAGAAGATGCCCTAGGAGCAACTACCAACCTGAATTCAGCTCCTTGAAGCATAATTCATGATACACTTCTACTAAAACAACAAGAAAACAATAGAAAGCAAGAAAAAGTGGATTTTTTTATGGTTTATAGATTTATGTTATGATAAGTTTGAATTCAAATTTTCACCATAAAGAAATGAGTCTTTTTAAATTGGTTGCCTCTTCTGAAAAAAAAGAGGTGGCTGGTGGAATGCCTTTCTCACAATATTGTTGTAAAAGATTTAACACACAGCAGGCCTCCAATAAATGTTATGTTTCCCTTCTTCATTTATTCATACTTCTATATAGCTATTCAATACACACATATTTACTGAGCATCCAGTATGCATCTGGTAGGTGCTAAAGATACAAGGAAGAACAAAACAGAAGCAAACCCCCCAAACCCAAGATTTTTTCCCTTATGGCATTTAAATTAGAGGAGGCAGACATTAATTAGACATGAAATAACTATAACTGTGACAGAGGGTACGTAGGGCACTTTATAAAGTTATACTTATTAGGGGCTTCAGGTAAGCTTTCCCTCTGGAAATTAGAATTGAGTGTAGATCCAAAGGCTAAGTAAGAGATCACTGGGACCAGCATGTACGAAGTTGGGAGGGAACTTAGGGCGTTCTAGGGCAGGAAAAAGACCAGCAAGGATAGAACATTTTGGAAAGTATAAAGAAAAGCAGAGAGAGCTAGCATTCAAATTGATCTTATGTGCGAGACTGAAGTAGATGACATCACAAGTCGCCTGTTAGCCCTAAAATTCAGTGCATATAACTTCACGTTCCCCACACTGGTGATTTGTGGACTGACTCAGTGCATAGCCATAGATTAGATTTTCTTTAATGGCCGTTCAATTCAATTATTCATTGAGCAAAGTAACCAGATCATAAACAATTATTTCAGTCTTCTTAATAACACATTAGCGTGATTACAGCAATAATTGGGAAAGAAGACCCAGTTAATTGGCTTAGGGGAAAATGGGTTTCCCCATATATACAGGGCTTAATGTAACCTAATATGGTTTGTTTAGAATCTAGTTGGAGATGGAAAGATGTGTTCAGGACAAGCTAGTTTAGACTTTAAAATTATGTCTTTGTTTATGATCCTGTTGTACCGATCTCATGTTGACCTGGCATGACCTGATATATTATGCATGGCTTCTGGTAGCCAAGGATATGTCCATATATCTGTCAGAGAACCTTCATCAGCAGCTCAAACCTCAAGTGTTTAACAGAGCAAAATACTGTGCTTTGGTGAACACTATTATGTGCCTTAGCAAACTAAGACACATAAGAGATAATTTCTGAAGCGTTTATCCCCAAGTTCAGTTTAGTGGAGCAAGTATGAGATTTGGAATTACTCAGTCTGGCGTCTGAAGCCAAGCTTGGCCATAAGCTGTGTGGTTTTGGCACATGACCTAAGCCATCTGAATCCTCAGGCTTCTCATCTGTAAAATGGGGATTACAGTGCCCATTCCTCGAGATCGAATGAGATCTGATACACAGGCTTATATTCAACAGATATCACATGCTTTCCTTCCTTTATAAGTTAGCTGAGGAGGCTGAACATGTGCAATGAGAAAACTTATGTGCAAAAAAGAGAACTTGTTGCACAGCAGCTCCAAGTGCAACAAGCATCTCCACAGATAGTAGCAGGAGAGTCCAGTGGAGGGGTGTCAGGACAGGACTCCAGAGGAGAGGGGACAGTCTCTGGGCTTGAAGGATTATGCCACCCAGAGATGGGGACATACACAGGGATCACTGTATATGCCCATCAGACCCATCTGCAAAGGGACTAGTTGTATGAGAATCATAAATAATTAAGAATGTGTATAGCTGCCTTAGTCTGTCCTGCTATAGAAAAATATCACGGACTGGGTAATTTATAAATAATAGAAATTTGCTTCTCACAGTTATGCATGCTGGGAAGTCCAAGCTCAAGGCACTGGCATTCATGTCTGGTGAGGATTTTCTCACCCACATGTGGTAGAAGGGATGAACATTGTATCCCCATG